GATAGATACAAATCTGAACCTAGATACAAATTTGTATCTAGATACAAATTTGAACCTCTCTATGAACCTGCTTTTTCCCGTACTTAGTTTTAATAGATAAATAACACTAATAACATATCCATAGCAATAGAAAATAATATAAATAATATAAAAAAAAGAAAATGTGGCTTGTGACCACCAGGAAGCCGCTCACAACGTACAAAAGTTTAAAATTGAATAAAAAAAATTTTACTAAGTTTTTCGACCAATCTACGTTTTCAAAACAACTTAATTCTGGTCAAATTTGCAGATCGTTTGGCCTATTAAGGATGAGTTTTAAACTAATCTCCAATAGGCCAAATGATATACAAATTTGGCCAGAATTAGATTGTTTTAGCATATGACCCGAATTTTTTTCGCCACTAATATTGTACAAATTTATATGTTTAATTTAAAAATTGATTAAGAAAACTGATCAGTAACTAATCGACTATAGCCAGCCATAGCCGGCTACTAGTTAGCTGCCTGATACGAAAGTATCGGAGCAGCATTTTGTCCCGAATCAGTTATGGGGGTTTTTTAGGATCGGATAGTATGTATGATTGATCGACTGATTCATCCAAGTGACTTATTGTGTGGTTCTGTAGTCTCTTGCATTATTGTGATTTATGTTTGATTGTTGATTCATTGTTTGATTTATGTCATAATGACGCAGTTTTTTGATTAGTAATCGTTAGATCGTATTTAAGGGAAATTGGTTTTTTTCCCAGGAAGGGTAAGTTCTGTTTTTTCTGCTAACCCGACTTTGTCTGGTTTTTTCGTGCTTACCTTATACACGTATAATTATCATTGTTTTTATTGGACTTTCTTACTCAAATTAAGAATAAAAAATAAACACAGTTGTTGTAACTCACATTTTTTTTTTAAAAAAAAAAAAGAAAAAAAAAAAAAATTCTTTTGTTTTTCATTTATTGTCTTTGTCTGTTACTATGTTGCCGTCTGATAAAGAGTCGGATCTGGTTGTTTCAAATGATACGTTGACTCTGCCGGATATGTCTCAGGCGGCTTTATAGTCGAGTTTGGAGCATCTATCTTTGGAGGCCTTGAGATTCATTTGTAAGATTTTGGGTCTTTCAGACTTGGGCTCTAAGAAGGAGGTTGTGGCAAGATTGTTTAAGGAAGGAAAAGTCCGTTTGGGGCCGGATGCGTCTATTGATTTAGCCGGGGTGTCCGGGAAAGGACAGCCGCAGCAGTTTGAGAGCCAGAGCGAAGGTTTTTTGGAAGAGCCTGATATGCTTCAGTGGTCTAGTGATAGGTCCTAGCAATTTTCTAGGCACCTTCAAGAAGCAGGCGTTGTTTGGTGCAGAACCAACTCTGAGTAGGCCTTGGGATAATGGAGCCTTGAATTGGGGTATGGATTTGGGTGCTTCGGCGTTGAATGATGTGGGGCGTAAAGATATATGGGAGAAACGTGAACTGACAAAACAGTGAAACCAGTGGGAGTACAATGAATGGTGTAGAACTGGGGCGTTGTTGGATAAGGCTTTAGTTTCTGGTAATATAAACTATATGCGTTTGGCAAGACAAGTGGTTATGGAGAGGGCATATATGGTAAGAGTGGCAGATGAAGATAGTTGGGAGGTTGCTTCTAAGATGGCAACCATGGACATGTCAGACCCAATGTCCGAAATTTTGGGTAATAAACATGAAAGAGCTAGACAGCATTTTCCGAAGGCTAAAAACCCGAAATCTCCATTCTACTCTCGGTTTGGGCAGTTTCCGGTGCAGACTCCTGCCTTTCAAATGGCAGTTTTCCTACAGTGCAGTTTTCGCAGCTATAGCCATTTGTTCAACAATCTGGATTTTATCAGCAATTTACAAACCAACCAATGGGTTCGCAGGTTCTGTTTGGAGGTCCTTTGGCTCCTCCTGCCCAGGCTGTACAAGCAGCCCTGCAATTTTTTCATGGACAGCATCAGCAGGGTTTCAACCCAAATGTTGCCCTGTCATCTTCAGGACAGCAGCAGCCCTTTTCTCTGTCCCCATATTGGGCAAGGAAGAATAATAAGAACAAGTGAACGAAGGGTAAAGAGGTGGTGTGTTACTTATGTGAAGGAAAGGGGCATTTTGCCAATGAGTGTAGTTCGAGGAAGCACCTCGGGTTGCTCTTTCGTGGCGACAGTGCGCAATCAGGGAGTAGTTGACTACGCTTGGAGGAAGATGGAGTTGGGGATAAAGGACTCTCAGTGTGTAACAGGAGGGATTCACAACCCGGTAGCTATAGGATATTGGAAGGAGGTCATAAGGCCGTCTCAGTTGGTGTTGAGGTGGCTAAAAGAGAGGATTCCGTTGTTTTCAAGGAATTTAATGTGTTTGGTAACTAGTCCGGCTCCGAGGTCTTATCATTTTACGGAAGAAGTGGTGCTATGGTTGAAAGAGGAGTTGGAGAGATTGGAGATGGCAGGGGCTATAGTAAACTGGACAAAGGGACTGTTTGTTCAGTAGAGCTTCTGGAAGTAAACTCTGTGTTTCTAGTTCTGAAGCAGAGCCCCCGAAAGTTCTGGTTAGTAATCGATTTAAGAAGATTGAATCAGTCTTTGCCCCAGAAGTTGTTTCACTTTGAGGGTTTGGGTGGCCTGCTGCGAACAATAAGAAGGAATTGGTGGTTAATTTCCTTCAATCTGAAGAATGGTTACCACCATGTGCTGATAAACATCGAAGCACAAAGAATGTTGGGCTTTGTTGTGGAGGAAACGTGGTATCGTTACAGGGTGTTGCCGTTTGGTCTCAGCCAGACCCCTGGGTTTTTTCGAAAATAATAAGGGCCCTGATTAGAAAATGGCGGGCCCAGGGTATATATTGTGGGAGCCATTTGGACGATGTATGGGTGGCCCATCCAACAGAGAAAGGTTTGTTGGAGATAAGGGACAGTATTATAGAAGTGGATTTGGCGGGTTGCGGTTGGGTCTAGGCCAGAGAGAAGGGTTCTTGGAACCCGACGCAAAAACTAAAGTTTTCTGGGATGCTAGTAGATACATTGAACGGCTTGGTGGTAGCTTCAGAGAAAAAAATAGCTTCAGCTATTTCGAAATTGGAAAGAATTTTGAAGGCACCGGTAGTATCCGCGAGATACTTGGCGTTAGTGGCGGGAAAGATTGTAAGTTTAGGAAGGGTGTTTCTGCCAAGTCAGGTTAATTGCATGGAATTCTACAAGCTGATAGATTCCAAGAATTGAGGTGTGTGGCAATGGGACAACAGTGTTCAACTTTTGACGCAAGCAATCGAGGATGTTTGATGGTTGATAAAAAACCTAAGGAAATAGAATGGCCGGCCGGTCTGAAAACCCTCATAAGTAAGGTCAGTGTATGTCGATGCATCGACGAAGGGTTGGTGTAGTATTTTTCTAGAGTACAAAGCATCCGGGAGTTGGGTACAACCACATGCCCCAAATGTTATAGCCCAGTTAGAGGCGTTGGCCATTCTTCGAGTTCTCCAATCATTCAGGGATTTGTTGAAAGGGACCTGGGTTACCCTGTTTATCGACAACAGGGTAGCGTTAAGGACGACTGGCAGAAGGATATTACAAGAGAGATTTGGGAGGTGTGTGTAGAAGCCGATATTGGAATTTTCAGTACGAGGTGGATTCCAAGCAAGTTAAATCTGGTGGATTTTTTAACCAGGGTTTTGAACCAGGGAGATTGGATGTTGAACTCGGATGTGGCAGCCCATTTAGAGCAAGTTTGGGGAAAATTCGAGGTAGACAGATTTGCGAGTCATCTGAATACAAAGGCCTGGAGATTCAACAGCCTGTATTTCTGTCCTGGGACGGAGGCTATGGATTGTTTTACCCAAGATTGGGCCGGAGTGAGGAATTATGTTTGTCCTCCGTTCAGCTTGATTTACAGGGCCCTGTGTCATGCCAGGAAGTATGGGGCGTTGATAATAATTATAGTTCCGTTTTGGGTCTCAGCTCTGTGATGACCAATAATAGTAAATTCACGGAGAGAAGAGATCGATTTGCCCCCGGCCAACCAGATAATTTGCCCGGGACTATCAGGAAATTTGGAGCCTTGCAGAAACGACCAATAGGCTTTGAAGGCGGTGCTCCTGGATTGGTCAAAAAATTGTTAAATAGGGCTGAGGATCTAATGAGCAATTTTATTTGTACGCATATGAAATGTGTCTAGAAAAGGCACAAGAAGTGTTTGTGGGTTTTGCTTTGTGGCTGGGGTTGCCTCCGTACCCAGCTTCAAATGAGCTTTTGGCGGCTTTTCTTGCTTGGTTGGAGCTTTCCAAGAGAGTATCGGAGATGCCAATTTGTTTGGCAGCAATAGCTAGAGAGCACAAATTAAGGGGCTTGGTAGACCCAACGAAGGGTAGTTAAATACGGATGATTGTTGAAGGTATCAAAAGAGCAGCCTATCAATGAAAGGAAGAGGCTAAGTAGCCTCGAGACCCGTTACCAATTTCGGTAGTAAAGAAGTATGTGAAATGTCCTCCACCCGGGGCAAATGTGTTGTTATGGGCCCGGGACCTGGCCTTGGTAGCTTTAGGATTAAGAGTTATGCGTAGACCTGGTGAGTTGTGCAATTTAAGGAAGTCTGATGTTGTAGAGAGAGAGGTGAAATTATAGATAAGGATTGCTAGGTCGAAAACAGACCAGTTGAGAAAGGGAAAGTTCATTCCGATTGAGAAGATAGTGAGTGAGGTATGCCCGGTTAGGTTGTTGAATCGGTACTTAAGGCTAAAACCGGGAACTTTGCTAGATGAGCTGTTGTTTTTGTTCAAAAGCGGCAGAAAATTGTCAGTTGCGGCAGTATCGGCAATAGTTAGGTGTTTTGCAGGAAATGCTGGCTGCAGGGTAGGTACATGCCACATAGCCTAAGGATTGGGGGTGCTACAGCAGCCATGAAGGGTGGTATGATATTAGAGCAAATTCAGTCTATTAGTGGTTGGACGTCTGGTGCAGTCCAGCTATATTTGAGAGCAGTTGGTACCGCTGAGCTGGGGGTTTCAAGGATTATGGGTTTTGTTTAGGAATAGAATCCTTATATACGATAGAGAAACCTCCTTTCGTAATGATGCTCGGCAAGGACCCATAATTGATTTTCATTTGATTTCATTTGATTTCTTTGTTTTCTTAATCGTTTTTTAGAGACACCAGATTATGCGATTTGAAACGCATTATGATGTGATGTGATTAATTAAAATTGTGCAATTATTATGTAAGGAACCTCATGCATATTTTTATTGTTATAAATTTGA